TAACACTTAACTAAATCACTTAGGTGTGTTTCCATACCAAAAACACATTTTGCTTATTTATCCTTACCAAGATGAAAGAAGAAGAAAAAATGCTTGTAGTTGAATGATCTCTGATAAATGGTACCATTCCATCTTAGGGTTCACTTTCAAAAAAGTCGAGAATAAACCTTTTTACAGACAAACACGGTTGCGGGGAAAAAGCTTGGAAATTGGTCACTGAATAAAAAGAAAAGCAAAAAGGGTAAAAATGAGAGTATTTGTCACCAATGGTTGTTATTTTTAGGAATACACAGGCCGTCGAAATGTTCTGTGTTTTTCTTTTATCATCGTTGGCATTCATGAAGAAAAGTGTCCAGAGCGCCGCCTTGCGGTCGCCACGCGCTTTTTTATCAACATGCATGAAATTGAGATTGAGGGTGGTGTATAAAAAAGAGTGTAATAAATTTCTCAACATCTCACTCTTTTTAAAATCTGTTTATCACAAACTTTATTCTTCTTTGTTCTTCAAGCTACTCGATTTTATAGCTTCTTTCCAAACAACTTCATGTTTTTAAGTAAGAGACCACAAGCTAAAATGTGCTTTAACTATAATAAAATTTTGACAATATTTTTTTTTATTGTTATCATTTTTTTTATTTCACAAACTATAAACCAGTTTGTAATTTCAACCTTTAACCTTATAACAAATGTAATGAAATGCTCTACAGTCAAACATCGCAAAATTACATTTCATAATTTAATCCGAAGTTAAAAACAGATCTTATACGAATATTTTTGCTGACCAAAAAACAAAGTCAAGAAAACTCATTCGTTCATTTTTAATACTAGAATGACTTAGGAAGTTTCTCTTTTTTTTCCCTTTTGTTTTTTTGTTGCTCTTACTTAAAAAATGATACTTACTGATAACTTATATTGAGCCTTTCTGACTTTTCATAATTCAATCCAATTTAAGAGCTTATTTAATCATTTATGTGTTACCTTATAAGAACGTATATATTGAACCTTAAACCCAAAATAGACGTGAGGGGCAAGGGTGGCCTTTTAATTATTTTGGTAGTTAACCCATAACCCCAAATAGGTTCAAGTACTTAGTTAGTATAAGGTACCCTAGTTACATTAAAAAAACAAAGGTATTTCAGCATGCCTATAATTATTATTTTTCGAGAAAAGAAGACTCAATTATTTAAGAAACTAATGTGCAAGCATAGTATATATAATTTTAAGCTTTCAGATGTTTGAGAGTTCGATAAAAATAAATTGCAAAGGAAAACAAGTATTTCTGAAAACCCTATTCCTACCAAGAAATGAAACAATAATTTTGTAAATTGTACCTATTAATTTTGTTGTTATTTGCAATAACTACATAAAATTTCGTAAACCTAGCTTAAATATTCATGGAGATACGGACAATTTTACAGAAACGAATTTTTTTTTACTTGCACTTATTGCTGTAACTTTAAAAATATTCCATAAAATTAAATTAAATTTTCGGAGCAATTTAAAAGTAATTACAAAATTATTGTTTTTGAATTTGAAATAAATTCGTTAAAAACTCCGCAAGATATAAGTATTTAAAAAAGCTCTTTTATATTGCGCATGAGCAGAAAAAAATGTAAAAATGTTTTTTTCATAATTTTGTATTGAATCGTATCTGGAAATGAATGAAAAAAACCTGATTTAAATATCTTAAAAACTTTTAATTTTCTAAGTAGTTTTATGTATATTTTAAAGGGAAGCACTACAATGAAGTAATTAAACCTTCGATTGCTCACTATATAGAATTTCCTTCCGTTAATTTTGAGAACTTTCAAGTCTTCCATGACGGAAACTTATTTGCCATTTCTCTAAATGTTATTGTAATTAACAAAGTGCTTTTGTTAAAGAAATTGAAAACTGTACAAAATAAAATAAATCAAGCTTTTTTTCTGTCGCAATTTCCAGTGCGTTATCATAAAACAGTGTTTTCCAAGCTTATGACTTTTGTGTACCCTTCTGTATTTTTTTAAAATATGTTTATTTTTATTTTTTGGTACAAAATTTTGCTAATAAGTTTATTTGCATCAGTGAGAAAGATGATATTGTTTTTGCTGTGATAACAGTACATCATAATTCGGTTCTCTTGTGGTCAATTTTAGTCTGAGATGCGATTCCACATCCAATAATATATTTCTTTTTTCGAAATTTAATTGCACAAAAGTTAAAAATCACAACTGGCTGTTGACACCACTAATTATTAACTCTGCAAAAAATAGCCAATAGAAAAATACCTAATCGAAAATTTTCATGGCTAGCTTTGTTTTTAAATAACATTTTTTTAAATTTTCGTTTGTTGCAAGATATTTCACATAAGTACGCGTACCCCCGCTAAACTGTTCCCATATCCCTGGGGGTACGCGTACCACACTTTGGGAAACACTGTCATAAAATATATTCAACAAATTTTTTCAGCTATTTTATTATTATTATTATTATTATTATTATTTTTAATATTATTATTATTATTATTATTTTTAATATTATTATTATTATTATTATTTCAACCAAATAGAGATAAAACAAAAATTGTAAAAACGTTTGATTTCAAATTTTCTGCAACTTCCTTCCTTCACTGAGAAAAAAATTCTGGCAAACAATATCTATTTTTATGGTAAAGAAATTTATAATTTAAATATCTAGAAGGAAAAAAAAACGTGGATTCTAGCAATAAATATCAAAATTCGCAGTACATCATTGATTTAATAATCTTTCTGTTGTTATTAGTGACTTGCTGATCTAGTACCAAAGGATGCGCCGATTTAGGGCATTCAGCTAAAATAAGGTGTCCGTTTGAACAGAAGAAATTAACCCATTTAAACAGTAATTAAATAGATATTAAATAAAAATTTTAATTTTGAATTTCTTTTCAGTTTTAAATTTCAAAATTTAAGAGGATTTCTTGCACAAAATGTGTAAACAAAACAAATTTTTTGAAACACTCTGAAATGCATCTTAATTTCCGAAATATTTTGATTTTTTAATAATTTAATTCTATATCATCAGGATTCATATCAATCAACATTACAATAAAGCTAAAATACAGACATTATTCTACATTTTCTAAAACGTTTTCTCACCATTGGCTGGTAAAAAATAAATAAATGAATAAATCATTGAATATAAATTGTTATTATTTTATTGTCCTGCTGAAGTAGCAGAGTGTGAAATTCTATTAGATAGTTATCGTAAACTGAGATTCTTTTATTTTATGGGTCGCCAAGAATTTCTTTTTAAGAGTGACTTGGCGACACCAAATAAGGCCTCGTGTATGGGTTTGGAATGCGTCACCTGTCACATTCGGAGGGTTTCTGCAAAGATTTAGAGCTCTTGAATTAAATTTCTTCTAAGGCTTCTTCCTGGGACTATTTTGCACAACTCCTGATGTCGAAATCTGCAACAACAAAAGGAGAAAGAATTATTTTCATTTGTGACGTTATGCCGGGTGTAAAGGGACCCCATACTTAAATTTTATTCTTTATTCGAAAGTCAGATTTAGGATATGCTAAAAATTAGTACCAAGCGTAAGGTTATGATATTTAAACAGATTAAAAAAAAAAATTCTAGCTAAAAACGCCATTTTTAAATTTTCAGCCCTTAAAATATGAAGAATATGCAGCAATCATCATCACTATAGAAAGTCCTGAACTCTTAGTGTTAATGTTATTTCTTGTCATTATTATTATCCCGCTTTATCTTAATGCATTGAGAAAATTAAGAAATGTAAAGGGGGCTCAAATTAAAGAAGAAGAAAAAAACGTTACAGAAATATTTTCGTCATTTTATCCAAATTTAATGTAATGATGATCGGAAAGTTTGAATTTTAAAATAAAACTTAAAATGTGTTATATTACGTAAATAAATAGAAAAAAATGCGATACATATTAATTATGTGTTCAAATGCAATCAAAAACGCCTGAAAAATATTTATTAAAATCATTTTTAAAGTAACTAAATCAACCTTGAATTATATTTTTAATAATTTATGCTTGAAACAAATTAAATTCGAACTTAGAATTACATTTTAATCCGAATTACTGCCAGTCAAAAACACTTATTTAATTAGGCTAAAAGATAATGTATTTAAAAACAGATGCTGCTTTTATTACTCTAAGGCAATTTAAAGGTAAATTTCAGAAAAAGTTTTCATTTCATTACAAAATTAGTCATTAAAAAACGGTAATATTTCTAAAAATTAGATTATTACTTAATACTTTTTTTGCACAATTATGTTGAAAAGCCTTGATTTCATTAGAAAAATAAGAGCAGTAAAATATCATTCAGCTTTTGTACTAAGATACTGATTTCTCTCCTAAGATAGAAACGTGTAAGGATCGTAATGTGTGACGTCACAAAAACAGTGATTGGACCTTCCACCTCTTTCTAGGTGACTCACGTCTGATTCGATGTATTACATCCAATATCAAAAAATATTATGGTTTTTCTAGAACATTGAATTCAGTTTAATGACTCAATTCCTGTACAATACACACAATTCCTGTAGAGGGCGAGGCAAGCGGTAATACGACACTTTGAAACACAACTTTCCATCAGTCATTGCTGATGAAAAGTAAATAAAAACAGTCTCGCATCAGCTCGATGAGATTTAGAAGATCATGACGATTAAAGCCTCACAATTCCGTAACCAACGACATGATTGCGACAATGTGGTCAGCCTTACACACAAGCTGTCTTTATTTCCTTGACAAGCTAGTATCCATCGGTGTGCAACTGGGTTGGCTTCAAGCCGCCCCTGAAGATCGAACCCCTGTCTTTCACAATGTCAGCTCAGTGACTTTAACCACTGTACCATAGTGGCTAATCCATTGCTGTTAGAGACATCAATAGGTCACTTCCACCATATAACTATATCATATTGATTAAAAAATGCATCTATGTTTTATGCGTTGGGGCTTAGTTTAGTAATTTTTTGTTACACTAATTCTCATGTTTCTCTTTTTTCACAGCATGTGACACACGCACTTATCAAACGGGCCATCTTCACATTATGGATGATTGCCTTATTTCTTGTGTGCTTACCCTTCACCGGCTTTGGGTTGTATTACGATGAAAGCACGTCGATTACTGGAAGATCTCGATGTAAGCGATATCGATCAGCCAGTGAACTGTCAGACATTGTCTACGCATTCGTCGTCTTCGCTTTTGGATGTTGGCTCTGCTTGGTGATCGTATGTTGCAACTTAGCAGTCGTCCGGGCGCTCTGCAGAATGGGACGCAAGAGTCTGGCTCACTGCGGGAGAACAACTGTCCGAAAAGATAGCAGGGAGTTATCCTTCAACCACACCACACCTGAAGAGTTATCCTTTGCAAAGCTGATGGTCATTCTGTGCATCTTTTTTGTGGCATGTTGGGTGCCGCAAATGGTGAGTCATCACAAAATGTAATTTGAAATTTGTAGTTTGATTGAGTTTTAAATAATTACATGACTTTTTCTTATTTAAACTCTTTTTTTTATCGATGTCTGTTTGGGTAAAAATAAACGAAATAAAAAAGCAATCGATGATCTGCTACATTTATAAACTACGTTAAAAGATATTTAGAATATCGATTCCTCGCTTACATTTGCATAACTTTCGCTTTTATAACAATCTATTTATATTTTTACATGTTATATTATAGTCGAGATACGTTACTTTCACAGTTTTTACAAATAGTTCATAGTGATTCCGTTCAGTGCATGCATACTTGGAAGGGATGTCGGGCACATTATGAGGACATTGTGAGGAATCGCAAGGTAAATAGCCAATGTTCGGAAACATCATCATACGCCGTTAGGGATGCCTTTTCCATTGTAAATTAGCTGTTTGTACGCATTTCAAATGGTACTCTTATTTATCTAAATTATTTTAATGTTAAATTAATTCGATGAGGAGTTTAAATTAATTTGATATTCACTCAAGTTCGAGTTGAAATCATGCATTTAAGTTATGCAAATAGTCTATCAAATATGGTTGAAATTCACTCTAGTTCGAGTTAAAGTGAAGCATTCGAATGATGATGATGATTATGAATTAAAACTGACACTGACTAAAATTAACTCAAATTTGAGTTAAAACGATCCACTCAAGTGATACTGATGGCCAATCAAAAATTATAATAATCCATTCAAGTTCACGTTCAAATTATGCATTCTAACTTGAGTTAGTTCATTTGACTCTTTGACTCGAGTGAATTTAACTCAAGATGATAAGACTTCTTTTATCCAGACAAATGAGTAAAATTTAACTCAAGTTGAGCTATTTTAACTCGGTCATTTAAAATGAGTAGCATCGTTAAAAATTGCATTGAAATAGACTGAGAAATGCTTGTTACATCGATATTGAATGATCTGGAGACTAATTTGTTATGCTCTCTATATTGCTCACCAAATCATTAAATTACAATAAATCAGCTATTTTTGAGTCGTATGAATGCAAGTTTTGACAATAACTAGAAAACGTCAAATTAACACTAACAAGGGAAACTAGGGAAGTGTGACTCGCCAATTTTGAAATAAACTAGTGGGATGTATGCAGGTGACGAACCTCCTAATGTT